ATATGAGAAAATCAGCCGACGCAGAATTCAGTTGCAAAGTCTTTAGATGCATCTGTAGCAACAATTAATAAAATAATAAATCAAGATTTACAACTTAAAAAAACATAATATTCCCCAGCTTTTGCCGAGGGATGTAGTTCAACGTAGAAGAATTTGTAAAACATTGTATGGAAACTATTTAGCAGGAGATAACTGGAATTACAGTCCGACGCTTGATGAAGTACAGGTTCACTTAAACGACTTGCAACCAAAAAAAGGTATATTTATTATCGAAAATGAAGAGAGAAAAATGTATAAATCTGGTTCCATCAGCTCAAAGAAAGTTTCAGTAAGGAGTTTATGATTATAGGAGGATTGTCTTACAATGGGAATTTAAAAATAAGAAGAGTGGGGAAAAATGTTTTAAATCAACTCACCTTACTAACAAAAGAAGGTTTTACGTTCAATATTTGCAGAAGAAATTCCATTTCTTGATCCAAATGACTTCATCGAGATAAAGCAACAAGTCATGCTTTGAAAAGTGCCACTGCACGCTTTGAAAAAAATGAAGACTGATGCAGGTATTGCATACACACCTTTTAACGTGTTACTGCGAATTTCCCTGACGTTTCACCTATGGTTTTTTGTGGTTTGGGCTCTTCAAAAGAGCTCTCTAAGTGAAAACCCACCACGATTGAGGCACTCTGGAAAGTAGTGGAAAACGAATGGAAATTAATCAATACCTCTGGAAATTTTATGTAAAGCCCTTCTATCATGGAAATCAGACTTACAGCCTATAAAAGAACTTCAACTAAATGGTCCCAAAATTGTTCTAAAAATGGGTAAACACTCTCTGTATATAATAATTCTCTGAAGTTATAAAATATTTCTCCCGCCTTCCTAGCGTGCCTTCGTGGTGTAGTGGTTCTGCACCGCTGAGCCGGTATTCCAGAGGTCCGTGGGTTCGATTCCCGGCGAAGGCGATTGCTCATTTTTCAATCTCTGTTACTTCCAAAAAAATCCTTATGTCTCTACAAAGTTTAATTGAAGAATCTGGCACAGTAAGACATTATCGATATTAATAAATAATAATAAAATATACCGTACACTATGTCACTTTGTATACTTCATCGTTAATACGATAATGCAAAATTTACTCTCCAGAATTTTTCATCTCTCACTAATGGATAAGACATCATGGCTTATTTGAAGTTCAGAAATACTAGTAATGTCACAACGCTTATGCTCGGAAGCTAATGTAATATAAATAAAAGAACTTCGAGTACGAGAGCCGCGATAGAATAGAATATCGATAATGAGAATAGGGAGATTGCTAAAACCAGATCTGAAATAAATTTAACAGGAACTCTGTATATTTGGAGAAGAGGGTTGGATTGGATTGCATTATTTAATTATGGCAAAGCACACGAGGGCTATCTGTTAGAAGGGAGGGATGCCTTAGTGGAGGACTTTCTAAGGGAAACTGGTCGTATACACGTTACATATGGCGGAAACCACGAAAACACCCATGCAGCCAGCCCGTTCGCGGGATTTGAACCTCGAACCGAACTACCAGTGTTCAGCGCCTTTACCGCTCGGCCGCTGGTAGGCCTTGGAGAAGAGGGAGGAGTAGTGGTAAAATATAAGGAGCTCGCGCAAGGCCTTGTTTTTCTCTAATTTGCGAGCCGCTTGTTCATCTATTTCAAGAAAAACGTATGACCTGCGTGTCATAATCATAGTTTAAAATATGTAATCTTTCGCTTCCTGAGAATTTGTTTCGTTCGATTTCTTTTAAGTTTGGTCAATGCCGTTTGCCGAAATTTCAAAAAATGTAAAAAAGCTAAAGTTTTACTTTTTGGCTATAGTTTTCTGGTTACATTGTTTAAAATGCCAAATTGCTTGAACCATGCTGTCGACTTACCGTCTCGTCTTTCTTCTAACTACAAGAATAACAACTCAAAGTAAAAGTTTAAAATAAAGCCTATTAAACTAACAGTTACATGAAACTTAAATATATAAGAGAAGTAAATGTTCTGTAGCTGCGGGTAATACAGAATATTCGTTCAAGTCTTGTTGAACGTGAAAATACAAATTCAACAGGTATTCGTGAAGCAAGAGCGGAAGCTACAAATGATTCTACCATCAGGGTAGAAAAATAGAGTAACGATCATCAAATGCTTCCAAACGTTTTCTCTTTAAACTCAAGAACTCTGCTCTTATTTATGTTTAACTAATTTGGATTCTGTTGGAAGCAGATAAAAGCAAAGCTAAATGGGCAGACGAGCTAGTAAGATAACTGAGCTAATTAATATAAAACTTCATAAAATCATAATGGAGAGCTATGAGTATCGCTGGAGCTGAGCGAGCTTTAAGCTCGATGAACAATACTTGCGATTGTATTCGACTGTATTATGCATTTTAGATAAATGTCAAACATATTTCAAATTTAATGGAAATCTCCTTAAACTGAAATTAACCCCAAACCTTATGTTAAACCTTTCTTGAAAAATCATTGTTTGGCCTTAGAACATCATAGAAGATCATTGTGCTGCATTTAGAATTTATTCGTTTCTTTAGGTAATACCTGAGATACTCTAATGTTCTTTTTTTTAATTAAAAGTTTTTTATTTTAAAATATTTGCATATTTATATGCAGTTATTTGTGTGTTTGTTTTTGTTGTGTGTGTTTGTGTGTAATGCTTAATTAGAATTTAATATTTAGTTTTTATAAGATACATTGCGAGCCTTTTGTTAAAATTTTCATAATTCACCACTGGAGAAGAGTCACACGTTTTAATCATTACTAGCCGTGGTTTCATGCTGACGTTTTTACAGCCTTCATAGGGAAAGGATCAATTAAGAAAAGAGCAGTTCTGAAGAGAAAGATTTACAAACTGAAAAATCTGAGAAATGAGATTCCGAAGATAACGATTTTCATACCACTCACATTTAGTTACATCCGTTAGGAAAGCATATCCACGTGCATATAGACGTGATTACTGCATGAATATACTATTCAACGTGTTTCAATTACTGTATTTTTCACATTTGGCCCTAGGCTCTTTATCACTTAGTCCTCATTTTGAAATTCTAAAGGGCATTTTTTTCCTTTGTTGTGAATCGCGGGTATTTGGATACGACTGTACACATCATTTCTATTTATCATTCTATCTAAAAAAAAGGATACAATTTTAAACAAAATTTAGGATAAATCATAAAAATCTGAAAGGTTTCAAATTTTAAATTACGTCCAAAGGAGCGTTTTTTTAACCATTTTGTGTGTTACCTTTATTTATTAAATATCATGTTCTTCGCACTTAAACCATAAAATTCAGCTCAACAGCAATAGCGCATAATAATTTTAAATTGAGCATGTCTTTAGAATTTCCGACACACAGTCCGCGCCGGAGATAAAAATATTTTTTCTGCACAACGTTGCCATTGCTCGCCTTGAAATCCTAGAGTTTGTTAATAAAAAATTCGTTAAAGTTTACAAAATATGAAATCGGTAATAAAACAAATTCCAAATTTCAAATTTGGGCTTCCAGATGCCCATATTCGCAGTAGGATCACGTCATTTAAAATTGGATGGCTCTCGGTACCGTTGTTTTATCACAATGCGAGAAACATACATACAGTTATGCAGATTATTTATTATTTAATTTCTTCAAATGTAATACAGAGCGATAATATTTGGTGGCAACAGTTTGAAAGTGAAACGGACATTCAGAGTGATTCGATGCAAATCGCAAAACGAAAACAATAGTCTCTCAGGAACAAAGCCCCTTTAGACTAAAAAGAAAGTCTCGATAAAGTAAGTCTAGAAAGCAAAAGCACCAGAGCTTCTAAAAATAATCACATAAACTGAATCTGAAAATCTCTAACATATATCATCTATAAACAGACCACCTTTTAAACCCTTTGATAAATTGTACAATTAGTCTAACAACCTATGCAACTAAAATATTTACGCTGGTAATTCTTGCAACCGTACGACTGTATATACTTTTGCATAAAAGTTGCAATAGCAAAAAGCATGCTATATTAAAAAATGAGCCCTTTTTTTTACTATTTTTAAAGATATAGGGTTCAAAAGAAATAAAAAACTTATATCACTCATGCGTTTAAAACACATTTAAAGCAGTTTGAACATAAATAGTAATAGCATGTTTAAAACGATATGACTACAAAATGAGGTGAAGGAAAACAATCGCGATCAAACCCACAAAAGAAGGATTAGCAAGCAATGTCAGAGATGGACGGTTTCGGATGAATACTTCTAGTAACTTACTCATCAGTGAACTTGTCATGCGATGGATCGGAAGACGCCGTTCAGTATAATGGCCGGCCTGCTTCTCTGACCTTTGACCTGCGGATTCTTTTTGGGCTACGTTATAGATAAAACTGGTATCCATGACATTTCAAAGATTTCAATCGATGGCTGAGAAATTTATTAACATTCCAACCAAACTGTGAGCCCTCCAATGCATGCAAATATATCACTTACCTTCTTCAAGTATACTTCAAGCGGTATCTTCCATCTTATTTAGATTATGGCAGAGTATACGTGGGCTAAGGGAAGGGATGCTCTCGTGGAGGACTTTTTAGAGGAAACTGGTTCTTTTTAAGGTATTCTCCTTACAGCCTGGGAAAACCACGAAATCTACCACGCAGCTAGCCTGTCAACGAGTGGCTTAATAGAAAAATAGTTAATTATTACATTCAGAACATGCAAATCTATTTTCGTCGTGTGTTTTCGAAATCTATGCTATTGATATCTTAAATATCTCTGAATGGTATTTAAAAGTCTTCAGAGCTCAAACTGACATTGTCTAAAGATAATTTTATTATGTTAAATGCCTATTTTTGAAATGTATTTAAAATTCCTGAAGTTCGAATTGAAGATGCTTTTGAAATGTATCTACAACTCCTGTAGTTCAAATTGAAGATATTTTTGATAATGCTAAATGCTTGTTACATAACTGAGTTAATCTAACATAACTTTTCTATTTTTTTTTCAGCAACGAATACCCCATCAAAATGTAAGTACAGCTTCTTTTTTTGCTACTATGGTTAGTTTTCTTGATTTAACTTTGCATTTTCGTTGAATCTTGAAAATTTTTAATTTTTAATAAATCATGTAAGGCAAGAATGATCAAGATTCTGTTAACATTATGCTATGTTAAATTAGAGGCCAAATACGATGAATTTAGATAATAAATTTTGCACAGCAGGGATTGTCAAATTTAAGGGAAAGTTAAAACGCTGAAAGCACTTTTTTAGTACTTCCACTTTATACAAAGGCTACGTTTAAGTAGATTATATGTATCTCAGGAGTAAGGCAATATTTTTGTCCTCTGTAAATCTATTTATGCTATTTGTTGCTCAAAATGAAGGATTAAATAATTTTTTAACAATCTCATAGCTATCAAGTTATTTTCAAATTTTTTTTCAATAATTTGCAAGTAAATTTTGCTTAAAATCGAAAAGAAGAAAGAAGTAGTTGCAATTTGTTAAGTCCTACATATTACCATTGCACACCTTTCAAACTTGAAATAGAATTTCAAATTATCGTTGCAGAAAAATATGACTATAATAAAACAAATCTGCTTTTTGGATGAGGTTTAGGAGCTGCACTGTACTCAGATAATTGCAATAATACGTAGTAAAAATGTAGGTTTAAAAGTTATGCATTCTTATTGAAGTTTGAAAATGAGCTCTTTCTTGAAGATTAACGTATCAGAAAAGGTCTCTTTTTTGAATACCTCCAAAGTTTGCATTAAAACGAGAAGACAAGAACATAAAGAAATAATTTCTGTCTGTCTTCAATTATTATTTTAATTAAAAATAAAGCTGAACAAAAATAGCTGCTGTTATGTTATTCTCTGCATAATGTTTAAGTAAATAACTTTGTTTATAGCTTTAAACTTGTTATGTAATTAGTAATGAACAAGCTGTATAAAATATTATATAATTCAGTATACATTAGATCTTAAATTAACGCAAAACTTTTACTATCTGATTCTGTGGAAAGAAGACAGACAACTTCATAAACAAACAAATGTGGATGCAGATTTTTTATGTACAGTTTATAATAATTTTCTTCGTTTTAACACTTTGCATTGAGATTATCTTCTAAAAAGTGGCAAACTCTTTAATCTTATCAATTTAGACTATTCTGAACATTTAAATTAAAACATTCGTATGCTTCAACGTTTCCTGAAGTGTTGATGAAATACCTGTCTTGTGTAATGAATAAGAATCTGGATGTGGAGTTGAGGTGTTGACTGACTGTAGAAAGCTCTAATCAATTATTTAAACAATATTATCCGGTCATATAAGAAATATTTCTAACCTTCATTTATTTGCCTTTGGATGATACTAAAACGTATCTTCTGATGTTACTTAAGGGTAATTCAGGCGTATTATTTTAGTAAAATTAAGAATTATTTAAAACTGCGCGTGAAATTTAACTCAAAATCCATCTATTCATTTTTGATTGAGATTTTTGAAATATTCTAAAAACTGTTTTTTTTCATTGTAATACATGCGTCCCTGATTTATTTAAAAGTTCATGAAAAAGAAATAAAAAGAAAGTAACTTTATTTGAACTTGCTTAAAATTAGGTTATGACATTGCTTAGATTAGCATTTTAAGCTTGTTTATGACACCGGTAATCAAGCGACCGTATTATGTAAATTAGTTTACAGAATTATCATCATGCCTGCAGGTGTGCTATTTAAAAATTACTGGTGCAATGATTTGTCTTATTTTAGAAAAGTAATCTTTAATTTATGGCGTTTTTAAGAACAAATTTTTCTTTAAAAAAAAATTTTTTTAGCCTTCTCTCTCTCTCTTTCTTTTTTTTTTTTTTTTCTTTTTTATTTGTGCAAAGCATTTTTATAAGTTGGTGCTGTAAAATCTGACCATTAACTGGAAGAATATTTAGGGCAAGTTTACGCTTTAAAAAAGACATTAAATGACAGACGATTAAACAGTTTTGGGTAATTAAGTTTATTGTTACGTATACCAATCTCTACTGCAACTTGCAATTTGGCAAATATACTGTAATAGCTTCAATTACAGTGCCGACCAAACAATTTATTTAGAAAACAAATATTTACAAGTTTAGAAATTTTTCGTTTATTTAGAGGGATTTTCTAGGTTTTCTAGGATTATTTTTTCTCTTTGTTGAATCAAAGATTACCTTAAAAAATCTCATGTGGTTTTAAACTGGCAAGTTCAATAATCTTTACTCATACACTAAATTTACTTCGCTAATTGGTAAACGCAGGGCGACGTAAACTTCTAGCAGACAGATTCCGTTAGAATAGACGTTTTCAGTATAACACGTTTCTTCTTTTATATTGATTTAATTCGCATTTTCAACAGGAAATAGGCATGGCTTGGAAAAAGAGAGCACAAAAACCACTTTAATGAAACTACAGGTATTGCAAGTTAAATGAAAACTTACAATATGACTAGAAATTTAAAAACTGTATAAATTCTGTCTGAAAACTCCAACTATTTAATCTCATCAAAATATTTTTTCCAAGATATATAAATAGCATAAAAACATTGTAATGCTAAAAACGAAGTGAATGCATACCGGCTGAACGAGATTCGATTTTTCAGTGCAGTTCCAATATAAATTATAAGGTATTTCTCCCGCCTTCTTAGCGTGCCTTCGTGGTGTGGCGGTCTGCACGCTGGGCGCGAATTCCAGAGATCCGTGGTTCGATTCCCGGCAAAGGATTTGCATATTTTTTCATCTTGCTGCTTCTAAAAAATACCTAATGTCTCTACAGTGGCTCCGAACTAAAAGGGTGGTGGATGATGATTCTCCACATCCAGGATTTGGCGCTTGGGTCCCCTAAAAATCCCATTCGCCCTTTAAAAGGGGGAGTATGTAGGGTATTTCTCCTGAATTCTTAGCGTCTCTTCGTGGTGTAGTAGTCTGCACGCTGGGCGCGTATTCCAGAGGTCTATGGTTCGATTCCCGGCGAAGGCGTTGCTCATTTTTCACTTCTCCTGCTTCCAAAAATTACCTAATGTCTCTACAAAGTAAGTGCTTATGAGCATTAGTAATAGCAAAGAGTTGTATCTCCTTTGTATACTACAGAAAACCTATTAAGACTCTTTCATTTTAAAAGCATTTATGAAAGCCTTCCTTACCGTTTTCTGCCGTATACCTTTCTTTAGACGCTGTCGCCGTTTCGTATTTAATTATTTTTATGTTTAATTTTTTTGAGAAATAACAGTTTAAATGCAAATATCTGATAAAGTCCTAAATGTTACCATTAAACTTGAAAAATGTTACCTAAAAATCAGCGACATTAATTGTAGAAAATGCGAGCTCTGTGTTATTTATTTGTTAATATAAATACAAATATTCCGTGAGCTTTTATTAAGGCTAAATTTTAAAACTTGTATGTCATATACTACATAAATACTTTCCTAAAAGGCGTTTAATTTTATCATATTTGCTTTTTCTACATTTTGGGAAAATTATACGCTTTCAATTGATAAAATGTTGCAGGAAGGAAAACATGTCGATGCTTGTCAGGAAATTAAATCAAAAGCTATTTTTTTTATTTGCTTTCCTTATTCTTTATTGTTACAATTAAATCTCATTTAAGAATTTTCTCTCTGATTGACATTAGTATTCTTATTCTTATTATTAGCAAGAATAATTCAGTCAGAATATACATGTGCATAATCTATTAAATTTCCTTTTTCGTCCCCCCCCCCAATTCTTATGCCAAAATATTTCCAAGTAACTTCTAACACTTCAACTCTTTTTTGAAAATTAAAATCATTTCAGATTATAATATTTTTAGTTTTTAATACCAAGTGTAATGAAAATCACACTTCCGAATGAATACAGTTAAAGAGCTATTTTGTGTGAATTTTATCTTCAGGTTGATCTACAAACTCAAATGAACCGCCCGTCTTTTTTTTAATACATATTACGGAATAATTAACCCATTTAATCACTTTAAATCATGCATATTAAAAAACCAAAATTTTACAAGAAAAGCGGAAAAGTGATCATCTCCAGAAAGTTAGGTTACATTGTGAATAACACTGATAAATAAATATTTGTAATACGTGGAATTAACTGTATCAAATATAGAATACCCAACACGTAGTTTCTGGCAGAAATTCTCAAACGTGTATTTGAATGAAGCTATTGCAATGTTTCATGGACCATGGAAAGTGAAATTTTGGTTTCACTTTCTTCTTCAGCAAAACAGTTTGCTTTCGTAGACCAATTAAAATGTCATTAAAATCAACTTACTTTTCCAAAGAAATAAAAATTAGCATGCGATATTATATAAACTAATTAAAAAATAAATTACATTTTCATTGAAAGTAAGGTTCATAGAGGTTTTCTCTGAAACTGAACCTTCTTCGTAACAACCAGTTAGATCTAGCGAAACAAAGCGAGTAATTAAGAAGTTTAAAACAAAGAATATTTTTTAAAATCAAAAATGAAGTTCCAGTGTTTCAACATAAGTGAAGTAGCTGTTTGAGTATTTAACTGCTTCTTTCTAGTTTCCAGTTCTAGAGTAGTTTATTTGCGTCCTGTTCTTTGGTATTTTGGTACTTTTGGTCTTTGGTATTTACTTACTGACATTCGTCTAAATGATGCTTTTTACGCATAATCAGCAAGTAGCCAGGTGCTTACTGCCTGGTAAACTTATTTACAGCCATAATAATATGTACATAAGATTTTCAGTACATTTCCATTGCTTATTCGCTTGCATTTTCCTTATTTTCGTAGTCTTCGCGTTAATGGGGCAAAAGTACATGTTTAAATCTTCGGCGATTTCACATCAGAATATATACTTTGTGTTATAAGATTTTTGATTGGAAACTGTGTGTTCAATAGCTCTTTCCAAATTACCCTTTAATAGCTCAAAATGTAAGAGGATTAATTTAGAATTAAACTGTATTTACTCCGTCCAAATGACTGAACCTAAACTAAATCCATTTCTTTTAAAAATTTAGTTACAGTTAATCGGCAGAAGTTTATATACACCAGGCAAAAATCTAGTACTGAAAAAACAATAAGGTATTCGTAACATGGTGTACAGGTTCAAATAAGAACTTCAATATAAATTGTACAAAAATAAAATAATCCAATAAAAAAAGTATAATTTAAGTTTAATATTATGTCACAAAATTCTGCTTGCAATTTTCGAAAAAATTTAAAAAAAAAAAATAGAGTTTTAAATTAATGATAGTATTTTGTGTTGTCGTAGTCTTAAAACATTAGAAATTTGTAGATATCGAAGAAATAGGGTTCTTTGTAATTCTGTGGGTAATTTCGTTGTAAGTTCTTTGCAACACTTTTTTCAAAGAATTCGATTTATTATGTTAAATTTCCTGATACACTTATTTTATCCTAGATTTTTTTTTCAATGGGATTTGTATTTGCTAATTAGACATGTGACTGGATTTGGAACAAAAAGTAGTATAAGACACATTAATGCTGTGACCATATAATGTTTATTCCGTTTATTCCTTTCCGGAACCTTCTAAATTGCTCGTAGATAACTGCATACCATCCCGCACTGTATTCATATTGCTGCCAATGAAACATATCTTCCCTAGCCTGAAAGCCGAGGTCCAATTTGTATACCTTGGCAGAAGATTCATTCAGAATTTCCTGCTGACTACTTTTCTATTTTTTTATGAAGGATTTATGCTTTTATGATTTGCATTTGGATGTATCAGATTACGGCAAAGGACACTAAGATTATCTGTCCTGGGGAAGAGTTTTCGTCGCGGAGAAGGGATTAAAGACTTTCTAAGGGACTTACCATCTTGCAAAGTATTGTAATTTAATAATCAATATGGATGCGTCAGCAATCAATAGTCAAGAATGTCCAAGAGCGTTTACAGACGGCTCTAAAATTCATGGAGAAGTGGGCGCAGCGTCAATAATCTACTCATCTTCCTCTATTCCATCAACATGGCAAGGAAAATTATCTCCAGAAAATTCTGTTTATCAAGCTGAGCTGTCGGCAATTCATTCTGCAGTAAATAAAGCCATATCATTTAATTTCAGGACAATGGCAATCTATTCTGATAGTCAATCTGCATTATATGCCCTGAAGGACAGAAATAATAAGAACCAACTGGTTCAGAATATTCAAAATACAATAAGCCCCCCACCCAGAAATCCAGTTTATCCTGAATTCGGTGAAAGCCCACAATGGGAACGACGGCAGCGAGACGGTTGACCTTCTTGCAAAGGATGCAACGACTAACATCAAAGTTGAGGTGATTCATGTCCCGTGGCCCAAGTTCCATATAAAATGTAGACTGAATGCAATTTTCGACTCAAAATGGTTAGAAGAATGGGATTCTGCATTGCAAGGCAGAAGAGTCAACGATTTTTTTCTCAAGAACTGACACAGAGGCACTGCACTATGACCATGTTCTGAATCATTATATATCATAGGGCACGGTCCTTTCCCCACCTACTCCCACGACAGATGTATGTGCCTCACGGATCCCTGCATATGTGGCGAAAGGGGTGACCCTGATCATTACATTTTTTACTGTAATTTAACAGACGGCAAACATCCGATTAAGCCTAACAACAATCTAATACCATTTAAAAATACGCAATAAAGAACAGAAGCCTTAGGGCCGAAATCAGAGACATTCTTATACATATCCAAAGACTCGGACTGAATATTTGTCATATCTAATGCTTATGCATCTCCATATATTATTACTAAAATATATTTATTAATTTTTTTTAATTTAATGTTCCAACAATTTCATTTTTCTATGCGCAATGCTTATGGACAAGAGCTCCAAAGACTTGCTTATTACACCTTCCGACTTAGAAAGGACATTTGTTCATACATTTAAACTTTTGGAAGCATCAGTTGTTGAACTTTTCAAGGACATTCTTTTCTCAGTATGATTTGTGTACTTTAATAATACCAGGAATCAGTGATCTCAGAAAGTCCTCTCAAAGGGGTTGATGGTTAAAAAAAAAAGAGGGGCGGGAGATCCTCGGACCACCACCCTGGGTGTTCCGAGGGGTGGAAAGTTTAACAGTTAGCTAGGTTCAGCAATACCTCAATTACCTTGTGGTACTACGAGGTGCTGGCCTAGCTTCTACCTGTACCTGTAGTTGAGATTATAGGTATAGGAGTGTGCTTGTTTATTACACTTCAAATAAATTATTGCAGGTAGTTTTAATAATTGTTGCTTATTTTATCATAAATGCTGAAATCATAAATTTATCATTAATTTTAACATAAAAGAGATTTAATTTTTTACAGCCTCCTGGTGTTCCACCACCTGTGCCCCAACGTCAAGAAGCTTCTCGTGGACCCCCAAGCGGGCCGCCTCCAGGGCCACCATCAGGTCCACCACCTGGCCTCCCTCCACCGCCTCGCAGAGGGTCCCAGACTTCCGCAACTGACGTTGCAGCCGCTGCGCCTACTGCTATGAGTGGTGCGCCCCCATCTAGAACATCAGGCCCTTCCCTTTTTCGTAGAGATTCTCAAGTGGATTCAGAGAAAATGGAAAAAGGCCCTGAAGACAGCGAAGATACCATGCGTAATCTACGAAAAACCTTCGCCGGTATCTTTGGAGACATGTAACCGATGAATCTGCTGAACACCCAAATTCACCATTCTATTTTGATTTAGTATGAGAATACAAGGATGTATTAAATTAATCCTCAACCCACTTGCTGATAGAAAGGTGTATGGCACGTGAATGACCCGTAGTTTTCATAATATAAGTATTTGTGATAAACGTCATACTTCCAAAGTTGGAATAATCCTTTGTAAAACTGAAAACAAAATAAGCCCCTTTCTATTACTTGCTAAAGAAACATTAAGTTTGTCTTAAAGTAATCTCAATTTAAAGTTGAGCAATATACATACGACTGCTGTACTTTTACAGCTTAGACAACAGTAAGATTTGTGAGTAAGTACAGCACTAACTTTAAAACTTGTTGAGATTATTGTTTCTAAGAAGCATGCTAATTACTGGCTCAACAGGACAAAAAACACAAGACACCCATAAAAAACTGAATTAAGTAGCTATAATGACTAAAGATACTTTAAGAAATGAACGATCTCTGGGCATTACTGTCTCTGATGATACTAATTTTTTTACAAATTACTTTCACAGTGTAAACAGTAAAGGAACTTGTATTGCAAAATTAAACAATGGATTCGTATTGTGGGAAACATGCAAATATTTCATATCCATGACAATTTCACCTGTAAAAGCTAAGCCTCAAGCCAGAAATATGTTAAAAAGAATTTGTAAACAAAAAGTAGCGATTCAGTTTAAAATTATGCTACAAGCAACGGTTATTCGGGTTAAAAAAAATGAAAGAAAAAAGTTTAATTTAAATTATATTTAGTTATAAAATTAAACTTCGGAATATTAACGCTAGGATCGAAAATTTTGTATAGACCTAAATTGAAAACACTGACAATTTTGTAAAACAAATGTTTTATTATTTTCGTTGTATCAATAAAATAAATTGTTCATGAATGCACCTTAACAGTAGAGATTGAAAAGTCTTACTGATACATTGAAATGATATTCATAAATAAATGCTTAATAAGGCATATATGAAAAACATTAAAGAACAACAATTTGTTGCTCTATTGTTGCTCTTTAATGTTTTTCATATATGCCTTATTATATGATTCCTCGTGTCATGCACATAAGTCCATACGAAAATTTAATGATTTCATAACAATAAAATGAATGTATGAAAATAAGCTGCTGCTGCTTTCGAACACAGGTTTAGTATACCTTAACAGCACACTGCACTGACAGTGGCTTCTGCCTTGTTAATGTTAAATGCATTGCAATAATTCCAGGCCTTCGGTTACGCACAAAATAGTAAATACTTGACCTAGTTCCCTATTAAAACTACAGACTACTGTTTTTTTATAGATGCGCTCGACATTATACAATAAAATGATTTTAAAAGTTGCATCTTAATAATATATGTTTTCTGCATGCAAAAGTGTTTTCTCTCTAAATGCTTTCAAATAAAACTACTACTTACGAATCGTTTACATTTGTGAAAATAAGGGACATTCATTCTCAGCAGTATACCTTTGATGCAGCTTTACAATTTGCTTATCAAACTGAAATGATGTGTGAGTACATAATTAGATACTGGAAAAAAATCTAGTCATTAATTTTAAAACGATATTTTTTTTTGACAAACTGGAACAAAGAAATATATGACAAGATTTTTCATTGAATATTTACTCATTTAAGAATTAAAATATTCAATTCTCTCAACAAATTGCATTGAAAAATATTCTATAATTTGAAAGAATGACACTAAATTTACCTCGTAAATTTAAATCTTTGCCGTAGAATTAAATTTGTCCCCTCATTCGAAACGTTTGAAATGATTTAATCTAAAGCGACGGAACTATTCGCCCATTTAATGCCTTTAAGCAATGTTCCTGAGTGCTATAAATTTTTAGCCATATTTCAGCAGGAGGGTTACGTAGGATATAACAAAAATATATATATCAAATGGCTACATTATTTCTACTTCATCGTGAGTGACATAAAAACGTAGTATGACTTTCCTGTATATCTGTATGTTCTTGTCTAGCTACTTACGTCGAATATGAGTGTAATTCTTGATGTTTGTTTGTTGGCTTATTGCGAAACCTATTGCAGCTCTTAAGAAATAGCTTGCTTAATTCCGAAAAAATAGAAAATTCCCAATTAAAGGCAAGTTACATATTTTACAGAACATCTTGAGCTGACGAAGTATTCTCTGCAGAAAACGATCTGCTTGTTGTTACGATTCTTGTTTTGTTAGCGGGCTTCTATCAGCCAATTTATGTTTTTAGCTTTTCATAAACTTTATGAAACTTAAAAATTAAGAGATAAATTTTGTATTATTACGTACTGTAGAAAATGATGGTCTTTTATACTTATTATAAATATTTGATGTTATGTTATAAACTATGGATTATGAAATTATATATATTAAATCTATATATTAAAGCAGAAATCTATATTAATCTATTAGATGACATTATAGTGAGTACCTACTACATAAACTGTTTACTGTCATTGTTTTAATGTATTTATATATATTCTAATGTAATGCATTTTAAAACTGAGATCCAGATCTTATAAGACGTGAGAGCAAAATAGTTCTTTTGGCTCAGTTTGAGTTTAGTTTTGAAATTAGAGCTGCAGTAGGAAGCAAAGTCGCATATATTGGAGGCAATAACGCAATATTCTTTATCTTTTGAATTTAGTATATGGATGTTATCTGTTTCAATTGTTGTAAGAATAAACTAAATCATAGGACTTTAAAATGGATTAGGTTCAAATGATTGCGAATGAGTTTGAAATGAGTCTAACCTATTTGTGAATGCTTCAGATGCTATAAAATGTAACAAAAATGTAATTTCATTAAGCTTACTTCTATACATCTGTGATATAGAATTCGATGAAAGCATTATTTCCTATCGGTGCTATTGTGCTAACCGTTTTATAACCTGATGCTTAGAGATATGCATTGAAACTCGCATTTTCCCCATTTCATGACTGTGTTTTGTCATTGAGAGGTGAAAAAGTTAAAGTTACTGAAAGTTGTAGTTACTGAATTATGAAAGCTTTTTAAATGGCTAGTTTTAAATGAAAGCATAATTTTCAGAACAAGTTTGTAACTGCCATTAGCATTTAACAAAAAAAATGGCAACAAGTGTAGAAAGTAGTACGATTAGCAATTAAATGGCAAACGAGTATCAAAAGAAATTGACGTGATTTTATATCCATCACATAAAGAAGTGTTCTCAGACTCCAACGTTATTTAAATGAAAATTCACTATTTGAAATGCGCAGTCGTATTGTTAGAAATATTGCTTTCACTGGATATAGTTTTTTGCCGAATTACAGCAGGATGCGAGGGTCATTAGAATCAAAGCGTTCGTTATTTTCTATGACCTTAATAATTCTATAAATATTCCTCCATTAATTATTACAATTTGAAAAACTCGTAATGTGCAAGATGCAACTTTTGTTGCTTATCAATACAACAGCTAGCCATCAAATTTAAAGTTACTTAAAATTTGAAACGTATCAGGCTCATCAGTATTTTAGGCTTTTAACTTCTAAATAATCTTTCATTTGCATGAATATATACGAGTCTAAAATTTAAAAATAAAAATTCAAGAAAGTAAATTTTTTTTGTATGAGTATGACGTTGGAAGTATTAGTGCCTTCAACTCTGAGAGGCCAAATGGCTTCGATATAAAGGGATTTCTAATAGGAAATTGCATACTTTATGGATATTCTACTTACTATATTAAAAAATGATCCTCTAGAATCTGTGTTTTTTTACAAAAATACATTAGTTGTAACTGAGACAAACTGTGATTTAAAATATTAGCAAGGTCCTGTGATCTACGAAAATGAAAAATCGTTCTAAAACGCTTACTAATGTTATTTTCCTATCTGAATTCTATGAATTATGGAAAATAGATTTCGTATTATTAAAACATTGATGACTTTAGAGATGCGATATACTGAATAAGAACATTTTGATTTTTTATTAACATTTTTATTGAAGTGGAAAGTTTTTAGACAGCAGTGGGGATTTCCTTTTACCTAGAAAAAATTCCTAGAAAAGTCCTCTTCCTCGTGAATTTTGTGAAGAATATATATTTCCTCTGATTGTCATTTTTGACGTTAGATTTCACATGAGCACAGGGTAGGCAAAATCTTATGCAACATGACTAGTATTTTTGTGTCATTATTTTGATGAAAATGCTTTGTGTAAATGAACTCACATACACTATTTGTCCCAGACATTTGTCTCTAAATTAAAATAAATGAAAGGAAATTTTTTTATTTTGTATTCACTTTTTATAAATGGGGTGCATATCGATTTAAATATGTTTTGTAGTGAAAAATATTTTCCCCGTCGGTTGCATTGTTGAAGAAAGACATCCGCTGAATATTAACTGTCATACGCTGTAATGAAACATTTCTCGCATTTAAATCATGTTAAAACAAAACATTCATCAGATATTCCTCTCTTTGACGGATGTCTATCGATAAATTTAACTTTTCAAAATAAATAAGAAACTTTTCTTGATATTAGCTGTACTATAAACGCATTGATTCTAAATTAATCGCCTCCAAAATTATTTTAGCTGTTTGAATATGATAATTGCTTTCAGGTGTGGTATTCTAATTACTCTGCCAAATTTATTACTTTTTGGTCATTTGCATTTTTTAGGATGTTTTTGTACATATTTCATATTATATATCTGTGTCCAAAACCATTATAAGCCAGTCAAGTGCATGTTAGTGAGCTTTCACGTTGTTTAGAATAAAAAGAAAATAAAAGTGTTTATCGATACTGGATAGGTTGAAAACGTAGATGTTTAAAATTTTCCTAATACATGTATTTGCTTACGTTCTCACATGTGTTTGAAGCAAGCTCTCCATCTAACCAGTGGTGCAATGTTGTGTGAGTATATTTTGAAACCTCCCTATAAATGTTTATCGTACTTGAAGAAAACTCAATAATTACTTGATACTTCTAGTGCAGTGGTTCCCAAACACAGCAATTCAGTTAAATTAGGGGAAGTTTGCTAAAGTTTCGTTGTTTAAATTTCTTTTGAAATATTCGCTCTGCATTTATCAATAAATACTTTTTTATTAATTTATTCAATATATGTTTTTTGTATTTTACAAGCTAATTTTCAAGTGGTTCCCAGTGGCCTTGTTACTGAACGGTCGACTAAAATAAAGGAATAGTGTCGAATTCATGTTGAGAACATTACAAAAATCTACAAATGTTCTAAAACTATAATTAGCAATTATTAAAAGAGTTGCAAAGGGTATATAAATATTTTCATATCACTAAATTTAAATTTTCTAAGATTTCTTAGTAACCCACTAAATTATTGGGCAGTGTTTGAGCTTAGCTTTCTCAAAACAGACTACAGATATGATTATTCTCTGGATCCAATATTTACTATACTGCCTAATGGAAAGGAAGCTTTATTTTATGCAACTACAAGTCCAAAAAACTTAGCATATTTTTCACTTTTTTAATAGTGCACATTGGGTTTAAAATATTGCTTCATATAATATATCATGTATGTGTTGGTAAAAAAGATACAGATTCTGCTGTTCAACGTTAATTTCACTTTTAAGAACGCTCATACATTCCCTGGGAATTTAAAATTTGATGCTGATAAGCAATCAAATCATAAAGATTTTTTTTTAAGTTGAAAATTATTTAAATATGGCTTTTACAAATTAGTGTCTTTTATCTGGAAGTAAATTTAATTTTTCGTTGTTTTAAATAAGGTTAAGCTCAAATGTGCTGATGCGTTTGAAGTATTAATTAAAATAAAACAACTTCTCAAAGCTCAAAGCATGAATTAATCACAAAGTAGCTGTGAAACTGTATTAGTTATTTTTATTCGTGAATAGAATTTAAATATAATAATGTCCATTCCGTAAAATTCTGTGTTATAGAATTACGTTTTGTATGAAAATATAGTTGTTTTCTACTCTAGATATACTCCACTTTGGAAACACCCTTAATTTAAATGACTTATATACCGTAGCAGTATGTATAAGTAAATTAAACTAAAACAGCAAATTACTATTAGAAACATTTTATAAACTACTGAAGTAGTATATAGAACTTTAAAAAAATTAAGTATATTTTTAAAAAGTTTGTTGACCCTTAAATTATTTTTTAAAACTCGAAATATGGATTCATGAATAGGAATTGACAAGTGCATTTTGCCTGTATGCACTTAATGCCTTTCCAACAGGAATAAGGCATTATTATTGTATCTTGTGTTTGTAATCAGTTCACATTTGTTAGACGTATTTGTTTAAAATTATGTCATGAAAATTGTTTTAAATACGATTGAATGTCCAAATTTGTCTTGCTCGAGAACCATTGTAATAGAATGTCATGTGAAATCTTATATTACTGTGAAGGTCAATTACAGAAATAAATGTGTGGTGAAGATATCTCATGTATTGATTTTTATTATTCTTCCTTTTTCACTGCTTGCATGCGATGTTGCTTCTTTCCTTTCACGAAACTACACAACTTTTCTTAGAACACGTAATTTATTAAAATTCGTAGTCACTAGTTTTCTTTAAATATTTCTTACAGATGATTTATTTCGGGAATGTTCTTCCGAAAATGTCCAGTGCATATGAAATATGATGCACTGTAACTAGTATTTAAAGAATAATATATATTTAAGATTGATATACTAATACTAAATATTTATACACTTTTCTAAATATTTATACACTTTTCTAAATTCAACAACCAAATACTTATATTACTCTTCTTTTTCTTGCCTTAATAAATAATTCAAACTGGGTATATGCAATTATTTTCAAACACGTACGTAACACATTCTGAATAAAATGTTTTTAACAGTCCAGATACATGCTTGATGAAAAAAAATTTGAATAAAGCAATTAACTTAATATACTTTATTATACTCTACTCACCTTTAATAAATCCTTTCAGTTTTAAACATGGCACACCAGATTCGAATTCTGAGTCAAATTATAAAATTCCTTGCTAATGTCATTTGACAAACTTCAGTCAAACATAACTGATAAAGAATGGTATAAATTATAAGACTCACGAAATTTTACACTAAGAGTCACACAGAAATTTAAAAAAAAAAAAAAAAAAAAAAAAAAAAAAAAAAAAAAAACATCCGTTGTTAATTAATGGTGGTCATGTGAAATCTAATATCTTTATTCGAAATATTATCCAAAATATATATCAACCAATGAATTAATTTTTCTTGGTTTGGTTTATTAGATTACGGCAAAGCACTCGAGGGCTATCTGCCTTAAGGGAGGGATGCCTTCGTGGAGGACTTTTTAAGGGAAACTGGCTCGTATACACGTTACACATGGGGAAAACCGGGAAAACCACGAAAACACCCATGCAGCCAGCCCGTTCGCGGGATTTGAACCTCAGACCGAACTACCAGTGCTCAGCGACGTTACCGCTCGGCCGCTGGTGGGCTAATTTTTCTTGAAGTCACCGTATGAAGTCTTCAGAATACGTATGAAGTCTAATCTTTTTCGAAATTTCTGAACGATAAAAATTAGCTTGCAGTATTACTCGAATGAACAGAGATTTTTAATATTAATGTTAAGAGTACTTATGTATTACATATCTAGATTACATTAATAAAAATACTCATTTTTACATCCCTTGAGTACATTCTCAATAATGTATTTGGTATTAAATAACGAACGTATTCGTAATAAAGATTTGTAAATCTGGAGCTTATTTTCTGCTAGATTTCTTGAATGTGAGAGTGAAATATTTTGGGGATATGTTATGTTCATTTCAGTTACCGAAACTATTGCTTTAAAACAAATGCAGATGAATTTCTTTTCTTATGTCAGATCTAAATACAGTAGAACTACAATTATCCGGACTAACTATGACCACAGGTTATCCTCCGGATATTCAGAAAGTATGGCTAGTTGATTGGATTTATTTTTCTGAGACTAAATATGCATTTATTGTAATGCAAGTGAGGGATTTTTTTTCATTTATTCTTTCTTTATTTCATCAAACATTCTATAGTGTAAAGACAAAATATTTTTATTTGTGTTAAAGTTACAAAACATTCTTATTTCGACGAAAATTGCATTATTATTATTATTTTTTTTTTTACTTATCTAAGCATTGATAAAACATTCAAGAATTGATAAAACTTTCCTCAAGAATAAAATACTGCGGTAAAAAAAAAAAAAAAAAAAAAAATTCGCTAATTATATCAAAAGTTAATACGAAGTAACTGACGGTACTTAACCTTCACAAGAGATTCCTTACGCGAAGAACATAATCACGATAGTTTGTAGAAAAGAAACTTGCTATGACTAAGCAACGATTTTCGGAGTAAACAAAGTACTGCAAGATTCTGGGAGGTATATAAATTGCTTTTTTATCAATGTTAATTATCTATATATTTTACAAATATTATGTGGTGACAAGACGTATGATGACATGGTAGAATTAAACGAGATATAACAGGAGCACATCTAGTAACACTCGTTTTGAAATTGGGAATAAAAAAGAAAGAAGGTAGTTGAACAAAATCTTTTTATTTTGAACGTTTATATCTTGAACTCATAAATGATTCCATTTATGCACTCGCGGTACTAAGGCATTTTCACCCCGGGATACAAAAGCCTTTCTGAATCCACAACATAGGCTTTAGCATCCAGACACAATTCAGTTACTTTTCTGTGGAATTCTTCATTCTTAGTGAAGAGTGTTTCAAAGGGAAAGCTAATCCTTCAAGATAATTCCAACCGAATATTAGCGTCAGAACAAATGGTGGAAGATCTGAGGTAACTGGACTACATTCCCGATCTGGAGATAAAATTATTACCGTCGACAGTAACGATTATCATCTTTTCAGAAAACTAAAAGAGTCTGGGGGTTAATAAGATGTTAAAATTCCTGCGTATGAAATTATTTTTTAATGCAATTACTGAAACATATTGAGCAACTGCAGTTAATTTTTTTAACGCAATTGCTGAAAGGTATCACAAACCAACTAGTCTTCCTGAAAGAAAATGTCTTAACTTATTATAACTTTTAAGGGAAGTTATAAATTTAATCTTGATTTTATTTTACGATACGAGGGGCGATCAAACGGTTCATAGAACGGGTTATAAGAAACAATACTAGATGAACCAATATTTTTAATACATTCATTTCTTATCACAAAGCACTTTTACCAGCGTTTTTCTGTTGCACTTTGCTTCTAGGAGAAAAATTCTTGCTTGTGCTCTAAAATCCATTCATCGATAACATTCATAGAATCATCATCACGTGAAAAATGAATCCAAGCAGGACAATGTCACTTAAAGCAAAATCTGGTCAATGTAACACTGTGGTAACAACTGGTACTCCGCAGGAGTTATAGCAGCCGTTGACTTAGAAAAGGTTAATGATGGCCCGTTGTCACGAAGATTAGAGAATTCCCTTAAACAGTTTTCCATTTCATCTAATTTTTAATTTCTTCTCGCAGTTTGGCTATTAACTGTGAATTAATATCCCACTGATTTTGTTTTTCCACGCTGAATGTAATTAGTCTCCTCATAGAATGTTGCCATTGCTCGCTTTTAAATCGTTGAGATTGTTAATAAAAAATTCGTTAAAGTTTTACAAAATATTAAATCTATAATAAAACAAATTCCAAATTTCAAATTTGGGCTTTCAGATGTCCATATTCGCAGTAGGATTACGTCATTCAAAATTGGATGGCTCTCGGTACCATTGTTTTATCACAATGCGAGAAACATACATACATTTATGCAGATTCTTCATTATTTAATTTCTTCAAATATAATGCAGGACTCTAACATTTGGTGCTAATCTCAGATTTAGGTACTTTTAAAATCTTAGATTATTTAAAATTTGAAAAGTGATATGCCGTTTATAGTGATTCGACGCAAAATCGCAAGACAAAAACAATAGTCCTTCAGGGACAAAGCCCCTTTGGACTAAAAATAAATAACATAAAATCTGAAAGCTTTTAGATTTTATATTACGCCCGAAGGGACTTTTTTTAACGTTTTGTAGGTTACCTTTATTTATTAAATATCACTTTCTTCGCACTTAAAGCGTAAAATTCAGTTCAACAGCAATATCGCAAAATAATTTTAAAATGAGCATATCTTTAGAATTTCCGGTACACAGACTCGTGCGCTGGAGATAAAAATAATTTTTTTTCGTACAGTGTTGCCATTGCTCGCTTTGAAATCGTTGCGTTTGTTAATGAAATATTCGTAAAGTGTTAGAAAATATGAAATCGATAATAAAACAAATTTCAAATTCCAAAGTAGGGCTTCCAGATGCCAATATTCAGTGTAAGATTACGTTATTCAAAATTTGATGGCTCTGGGAACCGTTGTTTTATCACAATACAAGAAACATACATACATTTATGCAGATTCTTCATTATTTAATTTCTTTAAATATAATACAGGGCTGTAATATTTGATGGTAACATCTTGAAAAGTGAACCAACATTTAAGGTTTTCAACGCAAAATGCCAATACGAAATTAATAGCTCTTCTGGGCTGATCACCTTTGGGCTAATAAATAAAATTACTTTGCCTAAACTTACAGAGGTATTCCCACAAAACTTCAGTGTTTCTACTTTGACAGGTATGGAACTTGGAAGTTCACAAATTACTGCACTCAGGACTCTGTAATGATATACATGTTGAACAACACGTTCCTTTTTCTTTGTTTTGGTTTTTGCCCTTAAAATCAAAGCTTCAAAAGTAAAAACTACTTTGAAATTGCTCCTTTGAACAGAACTAACAGAATTCAGAGCAGGTATTAGTTATCTTCATATTCCAATAGGCTGGTCATCACCAATAAAAATCAACTTTGTCATTTTGTTCGCAATACCAAAAAGTTATAACAGTTCCGCCTTTTAAATATCACTGAGAAACAAGTTACAAGCATTAACTACTTCATTTTTACAATGAATAACAAACAACTGTAATAGTACCTTTTTCTCTGAAAAAGTATTTTAAATTTCAGTTTCAATTCTTTGATCAGTTGAAATAAAGTAGTCATAATCTTAAAAATAATTACTCGAGGTAATTCTTTACGTCAAGGTGTGTGTGTGTGATTATGGCAAAGCCTCGAGGGCTATCTGCCTAAGGGGAGGGATGCCTTCGTGGAGGACTTTCTAAGGGAAACTGGCTCGTATACACGTTACACACGGGGAAAACCACGAAAACGCCCGTGCAGCCAGCCCGTTCGCGGGATTCGAACCTCGGACCGAACTACCAGTGTTCAGCGACTTTACCGCTCAGCCGCTGGTGGGCTGTGTAATTCTTTACGGATGATCCAGTTGGGAACAATGGCAAGTAAGCAAGTCAAATTAAGGATTAAGGATGTCATCGTCCATAATAACACATGTTCTTTTCCAAAACGATCGTTTACTGAATCAGTGCT